CTTAAGGTTATATTAGGTAGAGGTCCTATGGAAATAAAATGACATGTGTCCTTCTAAAGTTAAGCATGGGTTGTATATGGATTTATGTTAAGTATATGTATGGTTGGCTATGGTCTTATATGTTAATGTTGACTTGTATTATGTCTCTTATACTTGTAACAGAAAGGTTTTATCAAAGGATATGAAAGCATACATTTCTTGTAAATGTCCGTTGTGCATATTTTCTTGCATGGTCTCCATACTTAGTACTTAATTGTGCTAACCCCTTTCTTTTGCTTTTTGACTAAAGTGTAGGGATTTGGAGATGGTGATATGTCATGGCTACTTGTTAGGATTTTAAGAGTTGAAGATGAAGACTTGGTGAGTCCTCATAGATTCGAGGGCAATAACCAACATGTTCCTTTTTTTATGTCTCTCTAGTATTTGCTTAAGTTTTGAGTGGGCTTAGTCCCAATGTTGTATTCAGGTATTAGATGGTTTTGAGACATAATGTATAAAGTCTAGAAAGTCTTCCGCTTGCTATTTATTGAAAGTATCTTCGTGTGTGAAGAAAGTTTTTAATTCCTTATGGTTTTGGTGTCTATGCGATGAATGAATGCTAAGAGGCTTGTATTAAACCTCTTCGAGGTCGAGTACACCGGTTACGACTAGGGGGTGCTCCCGGGTCGTGACAAATACATTTTTACTGGTACAGACAGTAGAGTGAATGAAGGAGTTTTACAACACATTCCTAGAATGATCAATGAGGAACAAAATAACAGGCTATAGGCTATACCGACTATGGATGAGCTAAAGCAAGTGATTTTCTCTATGAACCCCAATTCAGCCCCGGGTCCTGATGGTTATAGAGGCAAGTTTTATCAATGTTGTTGGGATATCATCAAATTTGATCTTTTGGAGGCTGTTAAATCATTCTTTTGTGGTTGTGAGATGCCCAAATTCATCTCTCATGCCTGTTTGGTTTTGCTTCCTAAGGTTGAACATCCTAATAAGTTCAATAAATTTCGACCTTTTAGCTTAAGTAATTTTTCACCAACAAAATTATTTCTAAACTTTTGTGCAACATATTGTCTTCTATTCTTCCACATCTTATCTCGGACAATCATCGGGGTTTGTTAAAGGTAGGAGCATTTCTGAGAACATTATGTTGGCACAAGAAATCACTCATGGCATCAAGAAACCTAATGAAGGGGACAATGTGGTGATCAAACTCGACTAAGGCTTACGATAGAGTCTCTTGGGCTTTCACTTGCTTGGTTATGAGGAAAATGGGATTTAGTGAGTTGGTCATTGACATGATTTGGCGAATTATGAGCAATAATTGGTACTCTGTTATAGTGAATGAAACTAGACATGGTTTCTTTCACTCGACTAGGGGTCTCAAGCAAGGCGATCCTCTTTCCCCGGCCCTATTTATTTTAGGCGCGGAGGTACTATCTAGGATGTTAAATAGTCTACATCAAATTCAAGAATACAAAGGTTTCCAAATGGAAACAAGGGGACCACAGATTAATCATTTGAGTTTTGCGGATGATGTGATCATTTTTGCATCAAGTGACAGACTATCTTTACATCTTATTATGAAGACCATGTCTACCTATGAAACTACATCCGGCCAGCTCATCAACAAAGACAAAAGTCATTTCATGGATCCTGAAAATAGTCCAGTACATATTATTCTATTGATCAAAGAGATTACTGGTTTTATTCAGAAAGGGAGCCCTATCACTTACCTTGGATGCCCATTTTACATAGGGAGGCAAAGAATTATCTACTATTCTGATCGGTTGCAAAGGTGATGAAGAAAATCAGTGGATGACAATCCAAAATTCTTAGCTTTGGAGGAAGAGCTACTTTGATAAAACATGTACTTCAATCAATCCCGATTCACACTGTGGATGCAATTTCACCTCCGAAAACTACCATCCAATATATGAAGAGAGTGATTGCAGATTTTCTCTAGGGATGGGATAAAGAGAAGAAAAAAATATCATTGGGCATCTTGGGAAACTCTTAGCTATCCCTATGAGGATGGGGGCATTGGAGTAAGAAAACTTGAAGATATCTGCACTTCTTTACAGTTCAAACAATGGTGGATCTTTAGAACCAAAAGTTCATTATGGGGCCAATTCCTTAAATCCAAATATTGCCAAAGAACTCATCCAGTAGGAAAAAAACTTCATACAGGGCAATCATTTGTTTGAGGATATATGATGAGAAACAAGTTCATTGTTGAAGCTCAAATCAGGTGGAGAAATACACTCCGAAACTTGTTCATTTTGGTGGGACAATTGGTTGGGAGATGGTCCTGTTGCTCAACATGACAGTAACATTACCAGCCTCAACACTATCACAGTGTCACAATTTATTATTGATGGCACTTGGAATGATTATATGGTAAGAAGGCATGCACCCCCTCTTCTGGTTCCTAAAATCCTCAACACTAGAATTTTCCACCAAGAGAATGATACTGATGAAGCTATGTGGACCTCAACTACCAGTGGTCTGTTTTCCTGCTCTTCTGTGTGGGAGCTCATCAGAAAAAAGAAGGAAAAGAGTAGAATTGACACTCATACCTGGAATAAAAATATTCCTTTTAAAGTATCCTTTCTACTTTGGAGAGCTTTAAGATCCAAACTCCCTACCAATGAGAAGATTATTATGTTTGGAAGGGACCCAAGCAGATGTTCATATTGCAGACTTCAAGGATGGGATGACATCAACCATATATTTGTTAGCGGTCATTTTGCTGCTCATATATGGAGTTTCTTTTCAGCTTCGTAGGCACTGTCCACAGGAACATTCCTCTAAAAAATCAATTCATAAAGTGGTTGGGGCTGGAAACCAAATATGAAGTACATAAGATTCTCTTGCAGGCTCTTCCTATTTTTATCTATTGGAACCTTTGGAAAAATAGGTGTGCTGTTAAATATGGGGGCAAACAGTCTAGTGTTCCTAGAGTTAAATTCCTAATTCTCAAAGACATCACCAACATGTTTCAGTCTGCTTTCCCTTATCTCCATTGGCCTAACAGTTGTGAAAGGTTGCTGAAAATTGTGGAGAGTTGCTGGCTGGAAGTTCAGGTCAAGGAAGTGAAATGGATCAGGCCACTTGGTATTATATTCAAGTTAAACAAAGATGGAAGTGCATTAGGAAATCCCGATCAGATAAGAGGTGGAGGAATTCATAGAGACTCTAAGGGTGATATGGTGTATGCATTCATCATTCCCTTAGGAAGCGGCACCAACAACCAAGCTGAAACACTTGCAGCTGCTCATGGGATTCAATGGTGTATGGCTTTCTCAAAGAATCAAACCTTCTTGGAGCCTGCAACAACAACACATTTCTCCTTTTATCAACACCATCAGTCAGCTGGAATTTTTTCAGTGTAGACGTGTGTATAGGGAAGCTAATCAGATTTTCTCTCTAAAAGAAGTCACAAAACTGACATAGCTCATCACTACTACACTTATCAACAACTACCAGTAGAGGCCAAAGGTAGTTATTTGCTGGAAAAGAAGGGCATGTCCAACTTTAGAAGAAAGAGATCGAAAAGAATTAAACAACCTCCATGATGTTGCACTCCTTAGTCAACTACCCTGTTCTTTATAGCTTTTCTATTAGATTTAGCTATTTGGATAGGCTTAGGTTTTATTCTCTTCTACTTTGTAAGGGGAGAGTCTCCCTTATTTATACTTCCTAGTTACTTTGTATCGAGAGGAGTCCTCTCTTCCAGAGATGCGTAGAGATTAGGTTTCCTATATAGTACGGGGACGAGTTGACTACCCTTAGGAGGAATGTTGACTCTTGAACCACCATAGGACTAGAGGTAAGGTTTTATGTCGCCCTCCTTGTATTTTTCTTTTGTTTTTATTTATGATAAGGCCTGGGGGTGTTCCTAAGCCCCTGACCCCCACAAGGGTCGTTAATAAAAATAAAAATAAAAACCTAAACCCTAAACCCTGACCCTAAATCCCAAACCCTAAACCTAAACCCTAAAACCTTAAACCCTAAACCATAAACCCTAAACCCAAAACCCTAAACCCTAAACCCTAAAACTAAACACTTAATACTAAACCCTAAACCCTAAACCCCAAATTCAAACAATAAACCCTAAACCCAAAACCTAACCTTAAACCAAAACCCAAACCGTAAATCCAAATTCTAAACCCTAAACCCTAAACCCTAACACTAAATCCTAAACCCAAAACCTAAACCTTAAACCCTAAACCATAAATCATAAACCCTAAATCCTAAACATTCAACTCGAAACCCTAAACCCTAAACCCTAAAATTTAAACGCTAAACCATAAACTCTAAACTCTAAACCCAAAACCCAAGACCCTAAAACCTAAACCCTAAAACCTAAGCCTAAATTTAAAACCCTGTAACCTAAACCCTAGACCCTAAACCCTTAACTTCTTTTACTAAACCCAAAACCATATACCCTAAACCCTATACCCTAAACCCTAAACCCTAAACCCTAAAACCTAACCCTAAACAAAACCCTAAATCCTAAACCCTAAACCCTAACCCTAACCCTAAACCCTAAACCCTAAACCCTAAACCCTAATCCCTAAACCTTCAACCTGAAACCCTAAACTGTGAACCCAAAACCCTAAACCCTAAACCCTAAAGTTTAAACCCTAAACCCTAAACCATAAACTCTAAACTCTAAACCATAAACCATAAACCATAAACCCTAAACCTTAAACCCTAAACCCCAAGCCCTAAAGCCTAAACCTTAAATTTAGAACCCTAAACCCTAAACCTTAAACACTAAACCTAAACCTTAAACACTAAACCCTAAACCCTATACAGTGGATCCTAAACACTAAACCCTAAACCCTAAACCCTAAACTCTAAATCCTAAACCCTAAACCCTAAACCCTAAACCCTAAACCCTAACCCTAAATTCTAAACCCTAAACCTAAACCCTAAAACCTTAAACCCTAATCATAAACCCTCACTTGTGGGATAGACTTATTTATTTTTCTAATATGAATATTCATTGGTGTACTATTGGTGATTTTAATGTCATTACTACACCAGATGAGAAAGAAGGTGTCATCCCCTACAATATGAATAGAAGTTTTGAATTCATTGCAACTATTGAAGCTTGTGGATTAATGGACCTTGAGTACACGGGTCAGAGGTATATGTGGTGCAATCAAAGGAATGAAGAGGCTAGAGTGTGGAAAAGGCTTGTCAATGACAACTGGTTACAAGGAATCCCTCAAACTACTATTACCCATCTCCCTTCAGTGGGGTCTGATCATTGTCCCTTATTGATGGAGATTGAAGATAAAGTGAAGCAACCTATCAAATATTTCAAGTTCTTGCACTGCTGGACTGAACATGAGGAGTTGAATAATGTGGTTAAAGCTTGCCGGGACAGGGAAGTGGAAGGTAATCCTATGTGGAGATTACAACAGAAAATGAAGAGGTTGACTGCTACCCCTAGTAATTGGTCTAGAAGAACATTTGGATACATTTTCAGCATTGTTCGAGATCATGAGGAGAGAGTTAGAGTGGCTGAGGAAGCATTGATTGTTAACAATTCTGCTGAAAATAGACCAAACTTACACAGGATTAATGTCAGGTACATCAAATACTTGAAGTTGGAAGATTCTATCCTCAAACAGAAGACTCAATTGCAGTGGTTTAAAGATGGTGACACCAACTCCAAGTACTTTCATGCCATTATGAGAGGTCGAAGAAGGAAACTTTTCATCCACAGAGTCTGTATAGGAAATGAAGAATGGGTAGAGGGTGATGAGAACATAGCCAATGCAGCCTGTGATCACTTTAAGAACATATTTACTGGAACTGAGCAACCCATCAATGAGGATATATTACAACATATCCCAAGAATGGTCACTCTTGAGCAAAATATGTCCAAGCAATGCCTACTAATGAAGAATTGCAGCAGGTGGTCTTTTCTATGAATCCTAATTCAGCTCCTGGTCCAGATGGGTTTGGTGGGAAGTTTTTTCAGATTTGCTGGGACATCATCAAAGAAGATATTCTGAGTGTTGTTCATGCCTTCTTCTGTGGTTACTTCATGCCCAAGTTCATTTCACATGCAAGTTTGGTTCTACCCCCAAAAGTAGATCATCCTAATAATTTTTCAGAATTCCGACCCATAAGTTTGAGCAACTTTACCAACAAAATCATTTTTCCAAAATTTTATGCCTCAGACTTGCTCCTATGCTGCCTAACCTTATCTCCAACAACCAGTCTGGCTTTATTAGAAGTAGGTGTATTTCAGAGAGTGTCATGCTGGCACAGGAGATTATTCGTGGTATTAAAATACCTAAGGAAGGGGATAATGTGGTAATTAAGTTGGACATGGCAAAGGCATATGACAGAGTGTCATGGGCCTTTACTAGTCTGGTATTAAGACACATGGGATTTGGAGAATTCTTCATTGACATGGTGTGGAGGATCATGAGTAATAATTGGTACTCTATCATAGTCAATGGGACAAGGCATGGTTTTTTCCATTCTACTAGAGGTCTCAAGCAAAGGGACCCTCTTTCCCCATCCCTATTTATTTTAGGGGCTGAGGTGTTGTCTAGAATGCTTAATAACCTATATGACAATCAATATTTCCATGGATTCCAAATGGACTTCAGAGGGCCTCAAATCAATCACTGAAGCTTCGCTGATGATGTTATCATTTTTACTTTAGGAAGAGAAGAGTCTCTGAAATTCATTATGGAAACTCTATCAACCTATGAAGATACTTCAGACCAACTCATCAACAAAGGAAAAAGTCACTTCATGGTTCCTAAAGATACTCTTCCTCACCTTATTGATATGTTCCAGGAAATCATTGGCTTCACTCAAAGAGAAAGCCCTATAAATTACCTTGTCTGCCCCCTTTACATAGGAAGACAGAGGATTATTTATTATTCAGATTTGGTGGCAAAGGTTGTCAAAAAGATCAGTGACTGGCACTCTCGAATCCTATGTTTTGGTGGGAAAGCTACATTGATTAAACATGTACTTCAATCAATTCCTATTCATACTATGGCTACCATTTCCCCTCCTAGAACTACCTTGCAATATATCAAAAGAGTGACAGCAGACTTCTTTTGGGGAATGGACAGAGACAAGAAAAAATATCATTGGGCATCTTGGGAATCTCTTAGTTTCCCCTATGAGGAAGGTGGCATTGGTGTGAGGCATCTTAACGACGTTTGTACTTCTCTCCAAATTAAGCAGTGGTGGAACTTCATGACCAAACACTCTCTATGGGGGTCAATTTCTAAAAGCCAAGTATTGCCAGAGGTTTAACCCAGTAGCTAAGAAAGGGGATAGAGGAGATTCTTTTAGTGTGGAAATACATGTTGAGGAACAGGAAGATGGTGGAAACTGAAATAGGCTGGAGAATAAATTCTGGAAATGCTTTTTTCTGGTGGGATAACTGGATGGGGGAAAGACCTCTAGCTCACCTCGGTCATGGCATAACTAGCTTAAATAATACTCAAGTTTCTTATTTCTTAAGACATGGACAGTGGAATGAAACTTTGGTGAGAATGCATGTCCCACCTTTGCTAGTTCCCAAAGTGCTTAGCACTGCTATTCACTACCAAGCAGGAGTCACTGATGAAGCCTACTGGAAGCAAACTGAAAATGGGACCTTCACCTGTTCATCTGCCTGGAACCTGGTGAGGGGCAAGAAGAACAAGAGTAGACTATTCTCTACTATTTGGCATAAACAAGTCCTATTCAAAGCCTCTTTTCTATTGTGGAGGGCTCTCAAATTCAAACTTCCCACCAATGACAAGTTGAGCTCTTTGGGAGTGCAGCCATCAACATGTTTATGCTGCATTAGACCAGGATTGGATGATATTGAACACATTTTTGTTACAGGCAATTTTGCAGCTCATATCTGGAGGTATTTCTAGAGGCTGATGGGAATTATTCACAACCCCAGGCCACTAAATAATTTCCTGATGAGCTGGTGGGAAATGGCTGCAAAAAATGAGGTCCACAAACTCATTACTTAGACCCTTCCCATATCAATTTGCTGGAATCTCTGGAAGAACAGATGCTCGGTGAAATATGGCCAGAAAAAATCAAATGTGGCAAGAGTAAAGTACATGATCTTTAAAGATACTTTCCAGCTTCTCATGGTCACTTACCTCTATTGTTCTTGGCCTAATAATTGGGAGGATATGATCAATGAAGTTGAGAAATGCTCCCAGGATATCAGGATCATTGCATAACCTCGGGAAGATAGGAGGAGGGGGTACATTGAGGGACTTCAGTGGAAACATGATATATACATTCACAATTCCCCTTGGTTTTGGTACCAATAACCAAGCTAAAACACAAGCAGACACTCACGAATTGGACTGGTGCATTCAACATGGTTACATGAAGGTTGTCTTGGAAGTGGACTCAGAACTACTTACCAAATGGCTCAACCACAAAAGCAAGCTTCCCTGGAAATTGCAGCAGTACATCACTCAACTTCACCAGATTATTAATTAGTTGGAATTCTTCAAATGCCAGCATACCTATAGAGAAGCCAATACAATAGCAGATTTTCTGTCCAAGGAGAGTAAGAGATCAAACATCACTCAGCACTTCTACACTCAGAACCAGCTACCTGTAGCAGCTAAAGGAAGTTTCCTTCTGGAAAAGATGGGAATGACCAACTTCAGGAGGAAAAAGCTAAAGAGGATTAAAAAACCACCTTGAAGTTCTCATTCCTGTTCTTTTAGGCCTCTGTTCTAGTTTAGGATAGTTTTAGGTCTAATTGTAAGGGGAGAGTCTCCCTCATTTATGTTTCTTAAAATTTTGTACATAGAGGAGTCCTCTCTATAGGTGCTTAGTTCTAGGTTTCTTTTTAGAATCATGGGGATGAGTACACTCTCCATAGTAGAAAAGTAGACTCATGAACCACCATAGGATCGGAGGTAAGGTTTTATGTCCCCTTCCTTGTATTACTTTTGTTTATATCTATGATAAGGCCTGGGGGTGTTTCTAAGCCCCTGACCCCTCCAAGGAAAAAAAATCATAAACCCTAAACCCTAAGCCCTAAACTCTAAAACTAAACACTTAACCTAAACCCTAAACCGTAAACCCCAAATTCAAAAAATAAACCCTAAACACTAAATCTAAACTCTAAACCATAAACCCTAAATTCTAAACCCTACACCCTAAACCCTAAATCTGAACCCTAAACCCTAACAATAAATCCTAAACCCAAAACCTAAACCTTAAACCCTAAACCATAATTCATAAACCCTAAACCATAATTCATAAACCCTAACCCTAAACCCTAAGTCCTAAACCTTCAATTCAAAACCCTTAACCCTACACCGTCAAATTTAAACCTTAAACCATCAACCCTAAACCCTTAACCATAAACTTTAAACCCTAAACCCAAAACCCAAGACCGTAAACCCTAAACCCTTAACCATAAACTCTAAACTCTAAATCAAAAACCCAACACCCTAAAACCTAAACCCTAAACCCTAAATTTACAATCCTATAACCTAAACCCTAGACCCTAAACCCTTAACCTTATTGACTAAACCCAAAACTCTATACCCTAAACCCTATACCATACACCCTAAAGCAAACCCTAAATCCAAAACTCTAAACCCTAAACCCTTAACAAAAAATCCTAAACCCTAAACCCTAAAACCTAAACCCTAAATCCTATACCATAAGCTCTAAATCGTAAACCCTAATCCCTACACCCTAAACCCTAAACCATAAACCCAAACCCTAACCCTAAACCATCAACCTCAAACCCTAAACCCTAATCCCTAATCCCAAAACCCAAAACCCTAAATCCTATACCCTAAAACCTAAACCCTAAACCCTAACCCTAAACCCTAACCCCTAAACTCTAAACCTTAAACCCTAAAACCTAAATCCTAATCCCTAAACCCTAAAACTAAACCATATATCCTTAGCCTTAACCAAAACCCTAAACCCTAAACTCTAAACCCTAACTCTAAACCCTAAGCCCTAAACCCTAAATCCTATCCCCTAAACCTTAAACCTTGAGCCTACAACCCTAAACCTTCAACCTGAAACCCTAAACCATAAACCCTAAACCCTAAACTATAAACTATAAATTGTAAACCCTGAACCCCAATCCCTAAAACCTAAACCCTAAACCGTAAACCCTAAGCCCTAAACCCTAAACCCAAAACCCTAGCCCTAAATCCTAAACCCTAAGCCCTAAACCCTAAACCCTAAACCCTTAAACCCTAAACCCTATACCCTATGCCCTAAACCTAAAACTAAACCCTTAATCCTAAACCCTAAACCCTAAACCCCAAATTCAAACAATAAACTATAAACCCTAAACCCTAAACCTAACCTTAAACCAAAACCCTAAACCCTAAATCCAAACACTAAACCATAAACCATAAACCCTAAACTCTAAACCGTAGACTCTAAACCCTAAATCTAAACCCTAAACCCAAACACTAAATCCTAAACCCAAAACCTAAACCTTAAACCCTAAACCATAAATCATAAACCCTAACCCTAAACCCTAAAATCAAAATCCTAAACCCTAAATCCAAAACCTTCAACTGAAAACCCTAAACCCTAAACCCAAAATCCTAAAGCATAAAAATTAAACTCTAAACTTTTAACCATAAACTCTAAACTCTAAACCCTAAACCCCAAAACCCAAGACCCTAAACCCTAAACCCTAAACCCTAAAACCTAAATTTAAAACCCTATAACCTAAACCCTACACCCTAAACCTTTAACCCTATTTCCTAAACCCAAAACTCTATACCCTAAACCCTAAACCTAAACCCGAAATCCTAAATTATAAACCTAAAACCCAAAACCCTTTACCCTAAACTCTAAACCCTAAACCCTAAACCCTAAACCATAAAAAAAAACCCTAAATCCAAAACTCTAAAACCTAAACCCTTAAAAAAAATCCTAAACCCTAAACCCTAAACCCTAAACCCTAAACCATAAACCCTAAATGGTAAACCCTAAACCTTAAACCTTAAACCTAAACCATAAACCCTAACCCTAAACCATCAACCCAAAACCCTAAACCCTAAACCCCATCGCTTCCCAATTTTTGTCTCTCTCTAATTTCCCTCTATATGCGGAACTCTCTCTAAATTTACATAGCAGATACAGCCCCAACGGCTAGTTCACCAGACGGAATGGCGCGTGAGCCTCCAGTGGGCCTCTCCAGGACGCCGAACCAAGGCCATCAGAGGCACCTTGAGCAGACGAACAAAACCTACCATGAATCGCCTTCTAATTCACCCTAAAACTCCATGAATTCGTGAAACAACGAGGTGATGTATATTGCGATTTCAGAGAGGAGTTGGACGGGATTCAAAAAATTATTTCCCCAGATCGCGAGAAGTTGATTCATCGAAAGCTGTTTAGTGGGGATGATTCTCCTACTTAAAGGCTACAACATACTAAAAAATCATGTGATTCCATCTCCCCAGTTGAGAGAATTGAGGAGGTGAATTCTGGGAAAATTTTTGAAAAATCGCCTGAGCGACGCCTTTAAATTCGTCCATCTTCACACCAATTTCATGGCGATTTGAACACTGGGGATTACTCACCTGGTGAAGAGGTACATCTCACTGCAATCTCAAGTAAAATGGATGATACACTCACAGGAAACAAGAATTCCGGTGAGCAAGTAGCCGAAAAATCGAAAAGTGACGGCGGCAATGCTACAAGAAATTATTCGATGGAGGAAGAGGTCCATGTTACCAACATATCCATCAATATAGCTCAGGAGCACCAACAAGAAGCAATTCAGGCAAGTTTAGTTAATTACACAACCAATCAACAAGTTGAGTTTGAAGAAGTCAACTGCAAAAATGAAGCAGATCAGCAGGGGACATATTCTCAAGATCATGCAGGTCCCAATGGTAAAAAACAAGACCTTCACTCAATGGAGAAACAGAAAATAGACATGAATTTGAAGAAAGGAGACACACGACTAAGTTAAGACCAAAATGATCAACATGGTAATACAAAGTCTACAACTTTGGAAGTAATTGAAGTGGAGAGCTCATCACACTTCTCATTTGGAGTCAAACCAACTGATACTTTTCCAAGCAATGGAGGACAACAAAGGCCAAGTAAGACTATTAATTACACTAATGAATTTGATCATGATCACAGGCAGGAGCACCAGGCAGCATGAAATGACCCAAAAGGTTCTTAAAAATGTGCTTCGGAAGTTACCGGAAACTTGTTTAGCTATATCAAAAAAAATCCGTTTTGTTTTTCGAAAATCCGACTTCATATTCTTGTTTAGGGGGTCA